ACTAATTATAGATTTATAAAGCCTATATCTTAAAATTCTAAACCCCTAAAAAATATTGAGAAATTTCAAAAAATGCCACTTTTCAAGTGCCATTTTACAAAAATGCCACATTTTTGAAATCTTTACAAAAATACCACTTTTTCAAAATTATATTTCTTTATATTATTTATGTTTGGGTTAATTATGTTCTATTAGTGTTTAGTTTTGAGTGTTTAAGGGGTTTTAGGTTAAACAATTGAGATTCTAATTGTTATGGTTAAGGAGACAAAAACAAATGTTTGTACAAGTGGTCCTTACAAGTGATCGGTGGTTGTGGAAGTGAAACCGGTGGTTATATATAATCACTGTGTGTGTACGGTGATGGATTGGGACATTACAGAGGATACTCTCGTCGTCACAATGAATGATGACATAAAGTAACCAAAAATGTTCTTCTTAGGAGAAACATATGTAGAAAGAGAGCCAACTCACAAAGCATCGACGAATGTTGGGTGAGAAAAGGGGGGAAAATATCAATTAGATCCGTTTTCATTCGATATTTGCTTCAACTCGATAAAAAGATAGACATCTAAAATGTTTCAAAGGAAAAAAATAATAAAATACACTATTTGTCCAAATATAAATACAAATTTTAAAATTATCGGATATTCTTTTTGACGGTATGTTTTCAAACTATATATCATATATTTTTTATATCTATTTGTTTATCTTTAAAGTAAAAATTTAAAACAAATTATACAAGGCATCTCATTATTTTTTCACTGTCTATCTTTCACTTTTCTTTTGCAAAAATATGAAAACACATTTCACTTTTCTATTGTTTCTAATATATAACCTAACTAATCACATCAATAAAGTTCTGAATTTAAAAAAAATAAAAATCTCACATTATTATTCACTCACTAGTTTACACATCAAATGACATTTATAAAAATGGTATTGCGTTTCTAAAGTAAAGTAAATTCCACGAATATTTATTACTGACAAAATGAATATTCATGAATTTTTTTTTTGAATAAAAAATAGTGGGATAATTCAAAAATACCAATTTTGGGGTGTACATTTGCAAGAATGTCATTTAGGGGCGTCAATTTGCAAAAATACCACT